GTGTTAATACCTGACATCACATTGGGTGTTTCTCAATAAGTGTAATTCTGCGTTCTCGTTTACTCGAAAAAGATCATCAGCCTCAGCCCTAGTACTGTTCCAATTCACAAAAACAAAAAAACCAAGAACGGACAAAGTCCCTGGATGTTGTTCTGGCCCCTCCTTCTTTACCCAGCATGCATCGGAGAAGACTTGTCTATTCTTGAGATTCACAGCTGTCCCAGCATGCACTGCGGCAGCAGCAGCTTCCAGATTAGCGCTCACAGAGCTCAGAGTATTAAGTTAAAAGTTCTCCTTTCTGTTGCGGTTTTTCTATAAAAGTACAATTTAATTTCATTTTAGGTGAGAACATTACCGGTATACTTTTCAGTATCACTATATGGCCCAATAAAGAAAAAAGTTCAGATGTTGAGTGAACCGCGGCCACCCGAGTCCACACTTTCCTTTCTTCTTCTCAAGAATATAGCTGGCGAGGACACCAGTCTGTACTCGCACTCTTGTGAATTGAGAAACGGACAGAATCCTTCAAAAGATCCAAATGGAGATCTGGATCACCACCGAAACTTCATCATCTGCTGCCAGTGAAAACTCACTACATCTCTAAAAATTCAACCATAACTTTTTTCAGCCATTTTGAAAACAGACAATCCGATAGAGATGAAAACATCGCCTCCTTTGTGAAGGTAATAAAAACTCAGGTTCATTTATTAATTTCTATCATAAGGCGTAAGATTACAGTATGTCACCCCTAGGGGGCGCACCCACCAGTTGGGGAAACCCCTGCCCTAATGAATTGGCCAAGAAAAAAGCTCTAATATGGAAGCATTGGTCTAACTCTGCTGATTTACGGACATTTTTTATACTCCAGCAGGTTAATCAGTTCAGTGGGTACTGGTTGTTTCAACCCTTAAATCATTGCAGTTTTGGATGTTTTGTAAACAAACTTTCCAGGCATTGACAGAACCAGAACATGTTTGCTCTAAAATCAAAATCAACAAAAACGGGTTTCTAGATTGCCTTGATTCTAACGCTTTAATCGGGGATCGTTTATCTAAATACACTCACGTCAAAGGAAAAGATCCCTCCTTGTCATCCTTACTTAACCGAGCCCTGGAGGCCAGCGCTGGATCCCACACAGGTTTGAAAGCAGAGATAAAGGGGTCTGTGTGTTCACCTCCAACATGTATGCACACACAGCAACCATCAACTGATAACAGAGCAGATGGGGGTTACGCGGCCTCTGCAACACCTGTGCAACAGGGCTGTATTGATAACAGGCAACCAGTTCGGACACGTCAGCGAAGCCGATATGAGGAGCGAAAAGCTGAAATCCCACACAGATTATATTTCATACGCAGGGTGATGATAGACAATCTAGTTTTATGTATGAGTGCTAAAAGAAGCCACAGAGAGCTGCCCAACTTCTACTGATACCCACATGACTAATCCTGGGATAAAAGCTGTTTGCAACTGAGAGAAGGAAAAATCCCCCCCAAAAAAAAAAGAAAATCAGGATCTAACATTAAACACTGAAAAATCTCAAAAAGGTGTGAAAATCTTAAAGAGGTGGATTTCTTTTTTTCTTGCTCCTCTCTCTTGTGCAAATCACACAAAGGCCATAAGATTGCTGAAACTCTTGCTTGCTTGGCAGATTTGGAGAAAAAAAAAAGAAGGAAGGCCGTGGAAATCTTACCTTGCAGCCTTCACAGGCGCTGACACCATAGTGGTACCCTGAGGACTTGTCCTGGCACACAAAGCAGGGCTTGTAGACGCGGGGCGGAGGGGGAGGCGAGGGCGGGCTTGGCACTATCTCCTCTGAACTGGTGCTCTGGGTCTCTATCGCTGCGGAGAGGAGAGAGTGGAGGTTAGCAGACGCTATCAAGGTGAGCGCCGACAGACGTCCGGCGTTAATCGATAGGAACAGGATGAACACAATCTCACAAGCGCACACCCAGACAGAGATCTCAAGCAAGCTACGGCAAACAGATACGCCTAAATACATCCAATGCACTAACTTATGGGGTGAACAGGTATTTTGAAAGCTTTCTTATCAGGTGGAAAAATGTTCTTTTATCAAAACCCAGATGGATTAAATCACTGCAAAAATCTTATTAATAGCTCAGGTTATGCATTTGTGCAACCTAAGAATGCAACCCTGGTATCAAAGCTTCAAAGTCGGATTTTTCTCCTCTGATGAGACCTGGAGTTCTGCCTGTGTTTTAAAAATTCAGTGTTTCTTTAAAGCAGGTGCGCTTCAATTGACTGCAGGATCAATCGCAGACATTTTCAAAACAAACAAGGTGTTTGTGTCTGCGCTGCGTTTCTTTCAGGATTTATTCGCTGCACAGATCAGGTGCAGCAGAAACCACCATCCCCATCAGCTGAAGGTTGCCACGGCGAAGCAAACAACATGTGGTGCAGGGATTATGGAGGACCAAACCCGTCTTCATGTTAGAAGTGTTGGACTCTGACCTCCATGGCCGCTGTGTTATAAAACACTGCTGTTAAATCAATTATAAAATGTGCATTTACACAACACACTGCCAACCCTTGACCAAATAAGACTATAATCCTGCTTTGGCAAATGGTGATGCAGAGCTCGCTTCATTTGCGGAAAATAAAAGCAAAAATCTGGGAGCTTAAAACATTTGAAAACAAATAAGAAAAAAAAAAAAGCCGTCCTCAGAACGAGATTTGTCTCCAGTCAGCATGTCTGTGCTGGCTTCCCCTCTGCCAGCTGTGATTAGTTTAAAGAGATAAAAGGTAGCTGTTCATGCTCCACATGAAGGAGAAACATTTACAATTCAAAGGAAGATTACAGGCTAGAAAAACAAATATTTTCATGCATTCAAAGGGCTTAAAGCAGACATGAAGGATGGGGAAAAACAGGGGAAGATAAATTATACTATTAGAAAGCAAGTTATAGAATCATAAAATTATATAAAGTTGATTGATTTGACCAATCGACAAACATTTCATTGATAAGCGGCCATTTTTTTTTTTTTACCTCTAGTATTCAGAGGATATTTCCATAACATTAAGACCTACATTTTAAAATAGCACATTAATATATTATAAAAAAAATGTGGACGCTGACTGGTAGCTCTCTGTTTTTAGCATAGTCCAGGATTCAGTGCAGGTAGAGACTTTGTGCTGCTGGCAGCGCCTCGGGGGCCCAATCAAGGAGATCACCGTCATTTTATCCAGTTTTTAGATTTACAAACAGAAACACAATAAGTTCACTCTGTATCCTCATTACCATCATACTTTTGTGCACTTCAGTGGTTTCAGAGAGCCTCTGGATCAGAAACAGACCCACAGCATCCCAGAGCCTCTACTGTACTTAACAGTGGGAATGATGCGCTGATTTACAATGATTTTACTGATTTAGTCTCAGAGAATTCAGCAAATTCCAGGGGTTTCTAACCTCTGGTATTGCAGCCGAACAACTGAAACAATTAATCGGATCAATAATCGATTATTCGTCAAACTACTTTAGTAATCGATTAATCGTTAACTGTATAGAGACAGTATAAAAGTATAGAGACTTTAATTGTGTATTTAGCTGACAGTGTGACCCACTCAGCAGTATTATGCCAAAATTGTAAAAAAAAAAAAAAAAAAAAAAAAATTTAAACATTTTGTATTAATATAAAACTTTAGCTTTATTTTCACCTGGTTTAATTTCATAAAGAAATTCTCAAAAGAAGATTTCCTACCCAATTATTAATTGATTAATCAAAAAAATAATGGACAGATTAATCGATTTGCAAAATATGCCCTAATTGGCATGTGGTTGATGGCTGATGGTCATCAGAGGTTGGTAGTAAATAGTTACTTTTACATTTACTTAAGTAACTTTTTAACAAAAAATATACCACTACAAGTATTTTTTCTTTTTTGCATAATACCTTTTACTTTTATTTGAGTAATATCTTTATAATAATATGTTTTCAGTGAAATGTTTGGCTACTCCATCCACTGTTTGTAACTGTGCTTGTTTTAAGTAAATCTGCTTAATGTTTGTGTCTAAATAAAATAAATACAAAGGTTTTCCTTTTTGTTCACAAGTTTGAAATATGTGGGTCAAGCCGATATACATTAAGAATTACAAGTAATCTGAACTTGATAGCAATAAACTAATGAGGATCCATTTCATCACTTTTTTATGTAGAAAAGAAATTTGATTTTGAAATGTTTTTCTTCTGCTTGGATTTTTAATAATCACTCATCATCAAATATGTTATTCGTGTATTTTATTTATTTGATCACAGTCTTTAAAATACCAGAATTTGCAGATATTGGTCTAATAGATCATTTTAAATAGATGCTATGATGAGTTACTCAGCACTTGTGAAAGCCTTTCTGCCAAATATTTCTTTTCTTTTGCTTGTTAAAATATGATAAATTACTACCGTTCTTACTTAAGTACATACTTTGGGTATTCTGCAAACCTCTGATGGTTGTCATGGACACCTACTAATCCCAAAATGGCCCTCTCTAATTAAGTTTTCTTCCATCAGTGAGCTTTGGAGGTTTAGATTTGTTTCACAGCCCAGGGAACTCTGCAAATGCAGGTCCTCATTCACCCTACCAGCCAGTGGGAACAATAAACAGACCTTAGAGGGACATCTTATCCAAAACAGAGAGATCCAGAATTTTGGTAGCATTTTCTGCAAGCTTCAGGTGGTTTTAGAGAAAAAGCACAGGTTTCTCCAAGCAGAAGATGGAGCCAAACGCTGCAGGTTAAAGAGGCATCTGTTGCATTTCATGTTGCATGTAAAGGTTTTTTATTTGATGAAGGAAGGAGAGGCAGATACGGCTGTAAAAACTCCAGAAAGGAAGCAGAATAACTGAATCTTAAAAAGAAGAGCCTATGAAGGGATTTTAGTTTTATTATTGTTGCAGCAAAACTCGTTTTGTAAATGGAAATTAGAAAAAAAAAGGGCGATCCAGAAACAAACCTTTAAAAATGCCGTTATCAAAAAAGCTTTTGAGTAACTTCGTTATTTCCTTATATTTTATTCTTTTAGCTGCTTAAAAAATTTAGTATTTATTTAAGTAATTTTCCAAATATGAGAATGTGATCCGTTAAAGACAATTTGGGAAACATGGAATTTGTCAAACTCAATCTGAAAAACAGAAATTAAAAAATAACTCTGTACGAATTTGGGGAGGGAACTCATAAAATGGGTAAAAATAAAATTTGAAAATATAAAATCGACTAAATTAAAATAAAAAAACATTTTATTATTAAAACATTTTCATTTGAGATTGCATTTTTATTTAGAAAATAAATTAATTTCAAAAACTCCCTAATATTTATGTAGCAAACATGGTTAGGTTGCAGCAGTGATGGAACTGGGTTCCCTCCGTGGGGCATGAGGAAAAAGGGCAGCGTTACGCTGGTGTCATGATGAGCCGCTGTCGCCCACGCCGCTGGGCGATGCAGTCACTACGTTCACGTCAGGCGAATTAAGCTCAAGCAGGGCAGCCCTTACATAACACGCCATATTTTCTCATCGACGCAAATCCATTCAGTTCTCTTCACCGCTCCGACGAGCTTAATGCAGACTGATTACATTTCAGCCTGTTTACCAAAGAACGGAAGAACAAACACTGCAACAACAGTGGCATATAAAAACTGCTTTAATGCTTGAATTCAAACACGGCGTACAGACTAACCCAGGCCCATTAAAGAAGTGATCTCTCTCTTTCACAGAATGGACACTCTCTTAATGAGGGCACCCAGTGAAATCTAGGACACAAGGACAAGAGTCTGTGAGGGGGCCGACGACCTGTAATTAAATACAATGGCTGGCTTCTGGAGCCCTGTCAAGCCGAAGCATGGAGCAAAAACAATGGCAGGCCTGTGGACGACGAGAAGCACTGCCAGAGAGGCTCAGCAGAGAGGACAGGGCTACTTAGGCCATCAGCTGCCCTCGCCGGGGCCAAACTCCCATCAACACTAAGCATCACACAAGTCTGCCCATTGTGCCACTCCACAGAAGAAGAGGGGGAAAAAAAGAGGCAATCATACCCAAAGAAACCGAAATGAGTGACTCAGATTTGCCCAAGGAGCTCATTTTGACATTTACACACACAATTGGCACGGTTCTGATTCAGAGACAGAATCACCGCCACTAAAAACGGTGTAAAAAAAACGTCTCTGATGGTTTAATGAGAGGGTGAAACCCAAAGCAGTAATCAAAGAAGAGGCTGAATTCAAGTGTGCAGGCTGGCATGTTGTCAAACCAGTCCCTGCAGTGGGAATAACCAGCACAAGATCATCAGGTGGAACTAGTAAGAACAGAGCCAACATAGACTCGATCACTGCCTTAGATGGGCAGAAGGCCTTTATATGAATTCACCTTCATTACCACAGTATTGTTTTATTATTACACAAATCCAACCTTTAGTTTTAGAATATTTAGATAAAAAGTCGCCCCTCTAGTCGTTCCTACAAACTAAATCCATTCTTTAATTGATGCTTTACTTGGATGAAAGTTTCCAGGAACTTTTTGTTTGTCATCTATGACTTCCTGTTTCTCTGGCGTCTGAGGCGGTAGATGTGTGGGAATATTGACTGATCAAGAAACGCCGACAAAACTCATCACTTATCGAAGTCTAATAAGACTTATAGTCAGAGCGATCATTGAAACCTGGAACAGGGAAGCATGAAGAGCCACCAGAGGACAGAGATGGAGAGCTGCATGACTACGTTGCAAATACCAGGGCTGCAACTAACCATTATTTTGCAAAATTGATTCATCTGTAAATCAGTTTTTCTATTAAACGGTTCCTTAAACAAGACTTTTTATCAAGTTAAAGTAGGTGAAACT